CATCAATTATTAATGTTAGAAGAATTATATGCTAAAACACGTTATCCTGATGTTTATATTCGTGAAGAATTAGCTTTAAAATTACGTTTACCTGAATCACGTGTACAAGTATGGTTTAAAAATCGTCGAGCTAAAGGTCGTAATCAACAAAGACAAAATTCAGCAGTTGAAAATAATAATTTAATAACTAAAACTAATAATGTAAATGTTTGTCAATATGAAAATATAAAATAAATAACTTCAGAAGGATATCTATAAAGAGAGTAAAGTTTTACATTCCTCTTCAAGGTAAGTTGTTTTCTACTTGAATATATTTATGACTACTTATCATCTTTGAATACACTAATCAATGATCTTGACTTGGCATTCATAACACTCGAGTAGATAACCTTTCTCTGTATTGAATAAAATATCAATAATTTTATTGGTATAGTTACCAGCTTTCATATATTTTAATCATTACCTGAGTGTTTCATTAGTTTTAACATGATTAGTGATTTATTCAATTCATTACTTCCAATAGACTTTATTCTTTAGTTTGATTTAAATGCCAAACGAACAAGGAGTTATTATAATCTGAGTAGGTGAGCTGAACAGAATCCTGAAATAAATTAGACTAAACTTACAATATTCAGAATAATCTTTTTCCTCTATGAATAGGTTTAAGTTCAGTGAAATATTTTGAGGTCCTTTCAAAAGTAACACAGAAACAATATTTATATCATAATGGATCTATTGTGGTGTGTACTACTGATGTCGACAGATATTAGTAGTATGTATCACTAATCGGAATTGAAATGCCTGGAGGCAGAAGGTTGGGAAGATCGAACATTTCATTTAACCAAACTTTCAATTTTTAGGCTATTCTTTTGGTATTTCTCCTAAGTATAATAAATAAGCTAGAAATGAATAAGAATAAAGTTTCCGGGTTGACATTACTTATTTATCGATGACAAATAGCTTACTTATGAGTAGTCTAAATCAAAAGTAGACAATTGAAAAAAAAACAAAATGACAGTTTGAACATTTCATCTTTGAATTGTTAAAGAAAGAATTATTATGTTACCTGTTTTCCTGAACCATTTAATAGTTATTTCTATGATATAAATCAGTTTGAGTGTTGGGAATTCAAATGAATTCATGACTTTGTTCAGTTTAAAATGTTCATTTTAAAATGACAGAGTTAAAGGAAAAATGGTTTGTGTGAATATAATCATACCAATAAACTGATCCAGAAAATATGAAATAAATATGCTTGGATACATTGAGCGAGATATGAAAAGACCAGATTATTTGTGTCTTCTGGGGCTATAAGTGTATTCAGTTGTTTATCATTATAAAAAGAGGTGGAATTTGACAAACACTTCTCTTCAATATGTTTTGACATAGTGTTTATCGAGATAAGTTAAAGTTTCGTTTAGAAGGTAGACTGGGTACGTGGTGTACACTACTGATGAGACACGATTGGTTGAATCCGCTGCCCACTATACATTGGCATTCTAATCATTCTTTAAATGTTACCAATTCTTGGTTTGAAAATCACTCTTCAATTATGCTGTCTTCATACATGCGCCTAACTGAATACGCTTTTTAGTTTTTGTTGCCCATCCCATTACTTCATGACATGAAACGTTTGCGAAATGTACCGTTCACTAATTCTTAACTACTAAAAATGTAGTTAGTAGATTCTATTATTTTAGAAAGGTCATTGTCAATATTATTTCACCATCATGTGAATAATTTATACTTTTGATAAATGATTTTAAATAAGTATGAATTAAATTTAATTCAGTCACATATATCATTACAGATTTGACTGTAATGTGAGAGTTGTTCAGTGTACTCCGGTTTTCATTATGCAATGATTTCAATAAGGGTTAATAAGGAGTAAATCAATAAATCCTAAAATATACACACAGGATATTCGGTTACCGGTAGTCGGAAACAGTTTAAAGAAAGCTTATTTTTCACCTAACAGTATAAAGTTTCAGTAATCTTGAAAGAATTCATGTCACACGTTATCCATAATTATGATAGAAAATGTTTCAAATACTCCACTTGGTTAACGACTAGGTTTTTTTACACTAATCAGTTGCTGAGTAGTGACGAATATCATGTATAAAACTACAGAGCGAATAGAATCCTATTCAGACGGGTGAGGGAACAGGCTTTAGTCATGAGTCTGAGGTAGCATAAAACCTGGGTTTGGACTCGTGATCCACTTAAAACCAAACAAAGTACACCGTTTTGTTGAGTTAATCAGAATAGTGACTGAATACCATATGGATCCATAAAATTCGATACCTACTCATCGGTTGCTATAAGTATATATATACAAATCTATGTAGAACAGATAAAAAATGGGTAGCAGTAGAATGTAGGACTCGCTTGTCATCCTATTTGGGACCCGTCAGCTGGATGTGCCATCATCTCTGAGTTGATTTTTACTTCGTAATTCAATTTCAGCACTTTTCGCTTCAAAAAATAACGCGCTACAAACTTAACTATTAGGTTCAGACAGCGTTCATTAATGCAACGGGTACGAATCTTAATTTAATTTGTAATGGCTTTGATTATCCCGTCGTTGATATGTTGACTGAATTTCAATTAGTTTTGGTTGATATTTGTCCATCCTGTGCGGATTGCCTCAAGAAAGCCATTATAATACAAATCTGTATAGAATAATCTATCTTATATCCTATTCATGGTTAATAAACACACAGAAGTAACAAAGATTTATTTTAATTGTTACTAATAACCAACTAATGTTTACTCTTATAAATATTTGGTTTTAGCTCATCCATTCCAAAAAAAGGTGTAACAATGTTTGTAAACTATCTGATGTTATCAACAATGCTGCTATATAATCGCTTAATTTTCTTACCAATCTTATAAACAAAACCACTATAACTTTAAACAATTTCCATAAAACAATGAAACAATCTTCATTTTTGCCAAATGTCTTTCATTCATTTACTAATTTGAGTATTCATTCATTCGCTTATTCATTTATTTGTCCCTTACGTTGACATGATCTGCCTACACAGATATATATAATTACATAAATGCACAGAATAATAAACTTTAATCCACACAGATATTACAGTGTACAGCGTTTTAATGAGAATAATTTACAATTTAATTGATAAGAGATAAATAAATGAATCATTACAATTCATTCCTTTTCTTCCTGGGTTGATATGCTTTTTAGTTCTTTGTTTCGTTAATTAATTTATTTTATTGACATTCAAGAGTTCCATGAAAATTGCTAAAACTTGCATATAATTCACAAATAAGTTGATATTATGTTTAATCCTTCTGATTCATATGTATCATATTAGTTTACATATAACCAAAAGGTAATTTGAACAAAAAAATGAATATATGCATTTCCATTCAGTTTTCAGTTTCCCACCACCACCACCCTCTATACCATAAATGCTATAGGCTTTGTACAACAAGTTCTCATATAAAATGTGATATCGTTATTGTTACTATCAGTATTTATTCTTAACATAATGAAATGTTTTATAAGACGTATTTGTCTTTTATTCTATAATCAGAAGGGGTTTGTGGAGATTTTAGAAATTTCACAAATTGAAATCATGACTCATTTGAAGCTAGATCACCATGGAAAACCTGGAAACACTGGACGGCCGTTTCGTCCTAGTATGGGACTCCTCAGCAGTGCACACCCACGATCCAGCACCCCGCGGGATTCGAACCCAGGACCTACTGGTTTCGCGGGGTCGTGGATGCGCAGTGCTGAGGAGTCCCATACTAGGACGAAACGGCCGTCCAGTGCTTCCAGGTTTTCCATGGTGATCTAGCTTCAACTGACTCATGGTTTTAATCTGTGAAATTTTATTCTATAACTCATGAGGAATCTAGCCATTGTAAAGTGTTTATGAAGTAAAGTAATGTATTAAAGAAAAAAAGAACTTAGAAGATGGAAAAGTATAATCTGAATGAATTGATGATTTATTTATTAAACTGTCTTCGAAACCGACACCTTTACGTATAATCTTTGAAGTAATCGTTAGTGTTCACCATTCAGTAATACAATACTAGAAGGAAGCGGGTTTTTTGATAATCTTGGGTAATATTTAGTTCGTCAGTTTATCATTCCATGACGTGAAGATCCTAAATGTTACTGATCTGTGCGCAGAAATAACAAAAAACAACAACAACAAATGATTTGTCTAAAATAGGATACTTGTGTTTCTAGCACAAGCCTTAACTTGTTAGTGATATGATAGAATGAAAGGGTAAAATTATATTAGTTTACTCATTGTAATTTTCATTCAACATCACTTCCGTTGTTCAGGGTATTTTATTCGGTATATCGTTAGTTTATTTGAATGTGATGTTTATTCAAGATACGATATTATTGTACAAAATTAACGTACACTATGCTCATCATGACATGTAGCATGTAATTTGTCATAACTTTGGATATTTACTACATATGTTATTTCATCCTAGTTAATAATCAAAATGGATGTACAATCAATATATGTGGATGAGTGTATTTCCTACTAGGGTCATGTTTTGGTCTTAATAAATCTTCACTTATATCAGTCTTGGCGTTCTTACTTCAAGTCGCAGGGATTGCAGCGGTTCCTCATTCTTTCAAGTATAAAAATAAGTGACGTGGATATGGTACTGAGATGCAAAAGGCGTTTACTGTGTCATTTTAAAATCAATGAACAAATGTTTTCCGTTATATTAATATAGAAAGTAGGTACAAAAACATTACAAATGATTGATCACTGGGTGGTGATCTATGTCATGTATGTCAAGTCCTTCTTAATGCAGATCGAATGCTATTGACCGAGTTGAAATGTGGTCACTGGTTTAGGAACTCGACGTTGCGTGAACTATGTTGAGATAAAATGGTGATTGGAGGTAGTCAACAGGAAAGCCTGGACCCAGGTTTCGTGATATTTGGCACTCGTCAGCAAGGTGTACCTGTAATCTTGAAGGAACTGGTGATCCCTGACAGATTCGATCCCGTATCACTTTAGCTTCCCAGTCAGAGACGTTACCGCTGGGCTATCCGGGCTGAGATGTACTCACAATTGATTAATCACTGGATGGTGATCAATGTCATGTGTGTCAAGGCCCTCTTAGTGCAGCTCAAATCCTATCGACCAAAACATTCGATAACCGACGTAACACCCAATAGATTGATGAATAGCACGGTTGTAGTCAATAATCAAAATGAGCACTAAGAACACAAAATATGTAAACTATTATAAATAAATAAGTGTTCAATGGACACAAAATAAATGAAAACAAGTATTGACAATGTTAGAACGGTTAGTTTTCCACGTTTACACTTATAGGACGTTAATTTACCTTATTCAAATATCTACATAAAATTCTCTCCCAGTGTCTATTCTACAGGACGTCAACATAACTCAGACCAAGAACACGTGATTAGCCTGACCACAACGTAAATATATTTCCACACCAAAACCCTGACACAATCCAACAACAATGAACAATCAATAATAAGTGAGTAATAATAATAATAATAAGGATAGGGGAATATGTAACTCATCTGACACCTGTCAGACCATCTACATATCTGACTAAGCAGACAACCAATCATTATCATTCTCACCCACATATCAGAAAATGTTAATAATGTACAATTACAATTTCGTGTATGTCCTTGGGAATAATACATACCAACGAAAAAACGCGGTAAGCCATTTTTCCGAAAATAACGAGATACATTATCTACTGAATATTAGTAAGTAACATAATATAATACATTAAAAGGAATCGGATCGGAAGAGGCAACCGATTTACTTACTTTATCTAATATTTAATTTCTAACATCAACACTGGTTACTTGATGGTTTCAAAATATGTGATCGATGCTCCGAAGACATCTATGCTCAAACACTAGTAACCTAACATATGATACTGAATAAAGCTATGTTATTAGGTGAGACTATAATTTATGAACGACCTTTGAGCGACGCTGAAGTGACCTTAAGAGTGTACGCCTACTGAATAGGACTAAGTGAGGATTATAAAGCAGTTAGAATTCTCATTTACAGTTGATGGTTAGGGTTAAAAATTAGATTTAGGGTTTTCATCACGAACTGACATCAGCTATAATGCCAAAACTCTATTTAGCCAAATGCGTGGATGAATTTCGTACCAAAAACGAGACTCATTATTTTATATCTGATTGGTTCGTCCATAAATTATAGTCTCACCTGTTATTATTATTATTATCCTTTCTAAATGTCGAATTTCACACTCATAAAATAGAAGAGAAAGCTAACTGCTGAGCAGTATACTCGTCATTTTTGTTAGTAGACGGAAGTCTCTCCTACACTACAAGGTAACATAAATGAGAAAAACTCGAAAAACAAAACGACGCACGAAAGAAACGTAAAATTACTTGAATACAAATTATTCATTTTACAAATATACATTTATTTGTTTGAACACATATATATTGGTATAAAGGAGCATCAAATACATACGCCACACAGTAACAATGAGAATGTGAAGAGATAGAGAATGTATGGTGCGTATAAGAAAATGGGAACAATAACGAACAGAAATTAGTGTATGAGAGTGAAGTTATAATAATGGGAAAAGCAGTTCAGTCAGAAAATGTACTGTTATATTTAGAAGGTTGTTCTTGATATACCGCGTATAACGTGAGCACTAGAACGCCAAAACCCTTCCAAGTCGCAATGAGAAGACAGAAGACTAATGAAAGGGATATTTTTCCCAGACAGTGTCAATTACAATACAAAATTGTCAGGTACTAATAGTTTTTAGTAAAAACGAAGTCGTCATTACAGTCCTCCAATCCACATACAGGGGGTTATTAGCATTATCCAGTCGGGAAGCTACACGTAGGGATTCTAGAATATTCTTTCAAAAGGTGATTGGGTGGAATATCTACGGCTCCTTCTGAGCCTCCTACAGCTTCCTCGAGTTCACCCGTGGTCCGTCGTCATATGTACAACCAGAAAAATTCTTCCAGTTAAAGAAGATACGTCTATTTTTTTATGAAAAAAGTAAGATAAAGTTACAGCAGGATCGCCACTGGCTTCTATTCTGAGCCATATCTGATAACGTCTCTAGCCACTATGTCGCACCATCTCTAGGACCCCAACCAGGGACTCGTCAAGGACCAACAGAAGCCAGTCCTGTACAGCTTTCTTTCGTACCACGATACCATGTCGTACACTAACCACCTCTCTGTTTTTTCAACCGGTCCCAGAGTTAGCGAATGATGCACGATGTGGAACTAGCTGGGATGACATTCGTAAGCCATGTCCAAGACACCGAAGTTGATGTTTCAAGATAGTGATAGCAATTTAATTACCGTCGCTGTACCCAAACACACGATGCCGAACGTTTGCATTACTTACATGGTACTGCCACTGGATGGCAGCAATGCTTCGGAGACAACGATAATCAAACACAAAGAGTAGTCTAACATTCTCAACTTGATGATGCCAGGTTTCACAACCATAGAGCAAAACCGCTCTCACTGACGTGTTATAGATTCAGATTTTTACAGCCAATCTTACAGAACGAAGGCGCCAAAGATGATCCAGATTAGCATAGGCCACTTTGACTTTCACTATACGTGAATTGATCTCATCACTCACACCACCACCAGTACTTATGCAACTACACATATACACGAACTTTACACCGGGAATGTGCAAAGCATATACCATACCTACAGGCACTAATTGCCAACTGATTAAGTGCGGATTGTATGACTTGGGTATCACCCGCATACTTAAGGTCGAGAAGTCTTTCTCTAAACAACAAATCCATACTACCATTTTCTACATCCATCAAAACTGTTTCCAGAACGTTATCGATAACAAAATTCAAGTGGAATGTTGAGATTGTGCAACCTTGTCTAACTCTATTGCTTAAATAGAACTTACAACTATATAACATTGATTTCAATTACTACTTAATAAAACAAAATAAAATTATTCAATTTTACAATGAAATAAATTTAAACAGTTGACTTCTATTCCTTTTTTAATTATTAAAAAATGAATTTAATGATCTTTCAATTTGTTGATAAATTTCTTTTTCAATTGAACGTTTAATGATACCATCATATAAACGGAATTGATTGAACATTTTAAAAAAGATTGTAAAAACACCTTTACTATCAAATCGAAGATTATTCCAATGGATAACAGTAACTTTGTTCACACGAATTGGTAATAATACATCATTGTCCATTGGTTGTATAAGAAGTAAATCCAAATATATTTTGATTGATTTAATTTTAATTTCAACCGACTATGAAATGTGAAGAAGAAAAAAAAGAGGAAGAGAAAGTATATTTAGATAAAAAAAAACTATGAAGTATATTAATTGTAACTATAGTATAAAGATCATTGATGACCTGCTTGAATATCTCGGCTATTTGTTCTTGCCATCTAAATTTTTCAAGAAGTTATCTGTTTTTCAATAGTTGAAATCATGAGTCAATTGAAGCTAGACCATGATGGGACATCTGTGAACACTGGACGGCCGTTTCATCCTAGTATGGGACTTCTCAGCAGTACGCATTCACGATCTCGCCCCTCGCGAGGTTCGAACCCAGGATTTATCAGTCTCACACACAAGTGCTTAACCAACTAGACCACTGAGCCGGCATTCAACGGTGTTAATATCTAGCTTCAACCAATCCACGAAATTGTACCACCGTACACCATTGTCTTCAGTAAGTTGATATCTCACAACAGACCTGATTGAACTCCACCGGTCACAGCTTCCCACCAGAACTCCAGGAGTATATCTTGAAGTCAGTCACTAGTGTTTTGTTTGTTTTGATACATCATTATGTCTATTAACCGTATAATCTATTTAGGCGCGTTTATGAAAAGTATATGAACTTTCTCTGTGCAAGTTATAAAAAAGTACAATCAGAGAGATCGTGGTGACTGGCAACATGCATTGAAAAGAATGAATATTAGTCAGATATCGTTTTCTGAATTGCTAACATCTATCTAACTGGTGATTATTCAATATTTATCGTCATGATTAAGCAAAAAAACGGAAAGTTATTGAAATACTTTGTTCTGAGAATTTTATATTCTAACGAAAATATCATATTGAATAAAGCCATTAATTTTGATGGAGTTTTGTTCTCTGAGCTGGATGGGTTTGGTCATGGAGCTTTCATCGTTCTTCTGAACGACATCAGCATAAACTTCAGGTAGACCTGAGCTACAAATCTCCACTATCTCATAAAGCCATTAATAATACTAATAAAGGTAGTTAGAATCGAGAGCATATTTTTCGTTCGTTTTTGTTGTTGCTGTGAGGACTTTAAAAATGAATGATGTTTAATCTAAAGGACGAAATGAACATTATATAATCCACTGTTAACTATCGTCTATTTATTCAATAAAATCTTGTGAAGAACGACTAAATCGAGACAATTCACGCAAGCTGAGCATATGCCAACTAATGGAATAACTCAAACCTTTTTAATAATGATACTAAAATATCTATGGTTATGAAAAAGATCTAGAAAAAGACCTTTAAGGTGAATTGATGGACATATCGATCAATGAGGCTATTCATCGATACTTCATAGAACATATTAGTCATGAAGAACAATAAAATTTCTAAATCCGTTAAACTTCAACAGATTTAATTGTTTCTGATGTAAAATACTTTTAATTTACTAAGACCCTCTATTCATTGGCTTTAAAATCATAAGACGATCCTATCATCTCACTTATCATGTCCCTATATCATTAGCTATACTGCACATTATTATGGTGTAGGGAACAAGAACACCGATAGAGACAATCGAAGGCACGTAACATGATACTACAGAGCATCTCAATAAATCTGAGAACCATATATCAAATCGTTAATTTGCAAAATGTCCACCAATTGTTTCAAAATACTTCAGAATTCATTGTCCTTTTATTTTCATACAAATTGCATTCTATTCCCGCTCTTGCTTTCTTGATCTTCCCCCATCTTCTGCTGCCAGACAATACATTCCTGACTCGCGTCATATACTACTTATATCAATATAAGTAGCACACGCCACAATGGTAGCATTATTTCAAATTTTTGCCCATCAGTTAAATAAACTAATAGATTCAGAACAGTTTCATCAAAAGTTTCAAGTAACTAGTTAAAAGAGAAGCAAATAACTATTACAAGAAGACATAACTAATCAATGTTTCCGTGATTGCATAACAAAATCTGAAGACTATGACCTATAGAAAATATATGTGCTTTGTGGAGATTATAATTAATTTTGTGAGAAAAAGTAAGTCAGTCATAATCAATGTAAAGCCTGGTAAAAATATGCATCAGTCTAAACTGCCATACAGTATTAACACAATTTAAATAAAATTAACAAAACGATTAGTAAAGAGATATAATGGAGTGGTAATCATAGTCAGAAAGACTTCAAATTACGAACATAGTTCGAAAAGACAGAGTGAGGATATATTGATGAGGAAGGGTTAAAAGTCAAGTTTTATCATAAGGTAGAATATATATATCATTGTGACTAATTTTGAGCGATGTCGACTGTCTTCAGCCCATAATTGTAGTTATTACTTTGACTTTACCAGGATAGCCAGCTTCTAGGAACATGGGTTAGATCAACAGTCAATCATTTCATGAACTGATATCGCTTTCTGGTTTAGATACCTTCAAATTCCTTCCAACTTACTCGTATGCGGACTAATATTCTTTGTCAATGTAGGCGATGGGTAGTCGTACATAGATTAAGAGAAAATCAGATGGACTTTAACCGATCTAATAATAATATCTTGGAAATTTATTCCGTGACAACTAATCTTGTTAATAAAGATGACCTTCAAAAATATTATCCTTCGAAATTAAAAAAGTATATTCCAAAAGTGATCTTTATTAAAAAGTGATATCAGCTGAACAACAGTTTAGAACCAAGCAATATTAGTTGGATATGCTCTTCTAGCTTGTGATTCTTAATGAATACCCTCACAATTATAAAACTATACAGGTTTAGCAATGACCATGATATTCTTGAACTAAAGAGTTACAATTCACTAGTCCATATAACATACTTGGTCGACCGAATTGTGGTATGGTATTATCCATATCCATTGTTGAAGAGTAAAACAATAAAGATGAGAATCATTTTAAAATTCTATTAACATCTTAATAACGTTATCAAGTATCCTAATTATTTTTTTAATCAGTCATTAGACAACTTAATTAAGAACAAATAAGGGGTTAAATAGGAAGCAATTAAATCTGGAATGAGACAGTAGTGACAATGAATGAATTATGCCAAAAAATGACTGCATTTTGAAAATAGGAGAGATAGAATTCTGATTCGGTGGTTGGATAATAAACCTACTCACCATGAAATCTTGTAGTGTTTGGTACTATGTGAAGCATGCTTTGGTTATTCTAGCTTCCGGATAGTCCAGCTTAGTCGTATTTCATGAGTCATAATCTGACCTTGTCAATTATTCGCTTATTAACCATGGACGTTTTTGAATGAGTATATGCGTGTGTTGCTTACCCTATTCATCACATGTCTGCAGCCTATTTTTGTCTGATTATAAATACTGAGTCACACTTGATCAAATCGTATTGGTTCACCTGACCTCTCAATTCCAATTTCCAGCCTTTCATACTGAATGTCTGTTTGGACTATCGAGTGTACGAAATATACGTATTCAAAATTCATTCTCGTATTTGACTTATCCCGTTATTTTCTAACGTAAATTAGGTCGGTAATTATGTACGAGGGTAGCTGAGATGTTTACTTCGATAACATCATCATATGATCTAATTGGAGTCAGATTACAGGACTTCAATTGGAGAACTGGAGAAAAAAACCCAATAACTATATACTGCCATCACACCCTAACACTGTGAACAGTAGAACTTCTCCCTCGGACCTTAAGTTATTGATTTTAGTCTTAAAATTCTCCAACGAACCTGTTTGACATTAATAGACCTAAAGGAACAGGTGTTTCAGACAATGCAGCTTAATTGGGTCGTCACGATAATTAAACCCAAATACCACATCAAGATAGTAGCTATGATCTCAAGCTGCTGACAAGTGCTAACTTGCAAGAAAGCTTAGTCCAAGTGGCTTTCTGTAAATTATATCTAACTACATAACATGAACTATTCTAACTTATAGTATCCAACTTTAAAACAATAGTTAATACTCTGAAGAAGTGACTAACATTAAGTCACAAAACGTCAAAAGTAAAATTTTCTACTCACTGAGATATAAATAATATTATTATTACTAGTTAACACATTTAATTACCCGAGGTTTAGTAGCAAACATGATCATTTTCATTTTACCATTTATAACAAGATAGTCAAACAATAACGGAAATATCATTCGTATGTTTCCTGATGGTAGATCAATAATATCAACTGGTTCTGAGAATTGTACAGCAGATAAACCACTAATTCTTATGTCGAAAAATTCAGCAGTACCAAATTTGATTGGATTACCAATTTTGTATGCACTATCTTTACCATAATGAGTTAATAATTGTTCCATATAATATTGTAATACATTGCTTGTAAGTAATGAATTACAAGTTAATGCTTGATTAGATGTCGTATTGTAAATTTCATTAGTTTGACATGTAACTGGAGAATTGGAGAAAAGAAACCAATAACAGTTCAGTATATTTCAATATTTATAAAATATATTATATTAATTTGCTAGTTCCTTTTGAGAAATGATGTTAGAAGAATCAATCGGAACGAAACGAGATCGATATAACACCTAACAAAGCATTTCTGAATTAAAATAGTCATAATGTAGATTAGCTGAGATTATCTACCACATACAATTCCTTTTTTTCCAGTGATTCCGCTAACCACATAACAGAAGAATTTAACGACAAACAATAATCCAGTCTGTATACTACCAGAATCTAAATGATTCGATAAACTGAATTAGTCGAATAAAAAATCGAACCTGAATCGAATAACTTTAGAAAGATTAAATTGCTAATTAAATGACTGAGTTCTCGAATATGTGTTAGAACTATTATTCACATCTAAATTGCCTCAAGTGGACGACGAAATAATCATTCTAATGGTTAAGAGTTCAGCACGAGATCATGGGACTTTTGAGAAGCTCCATTCTAAGATAAAAAAGATATCTGGTGTTACATGTTTTTTAACAGTATCCCGAGTGAGATTAGTCTACGACGAATAATACTAAAAATCTTAACAATCTCCACGAAACCCTTCAAATTTATGCGTCTTTAAATAAAATATTAGGATAAATGGACGTTTTGTCAGTTAAATAAGGAAAGAATAAATTAAGGAATAAAGTGCTTGTACAAAGTAACCACAGAATTCGCATCAAAACTATGTTCATTTATTACTTATTCACTTGCCACACTTAACTAATCTACTTAGTTGGTTAATGTCCCAATACTAAAACATTGTAATATTAGTAATCAATGGTTGACCTGCTGTAGGATTGACAGTAACTCACAATTGATTGACTACGGAGTAGTGGCCAATTTCATGTCTCTATAGTCTTTTTAGTGCTGACCGAATTCCATAGATGAAATCGAGACATCGTCACTAATTTAAGTAACTTTATATCTTGTGCACCATGTTGCCTGTAAATGTGAAGCTGGTTTATACAGGATCAAACCTACCAGGGATCATAAGTTCCTTCAAGATTACAAGTACATCCTGCTGACTAGTATCAAATAATAGGAAAACTAGGTCTAGGTGTTTTTGCCGACTGCCTCCAACCACCTAAAATTTAAACCTGGTGCACGCGATGTATTTTAATCACTCAGACTACTGACCATAATGCCGTTTGATCGATAGAAGTTGATCAGCACGAAAGGACTAAGCAAACAGGATATCAATCACTATTCAGTTGTAAATCAACTATATGTAAACTTAATCTTGAGTTAAGTGTCATTCTCAACTGGTAATACTTCAGTCTTGTTTTTTTCTTTCAAACTATATCTCTCATATTTAAGTCTTTATTGTAACTGAAATTTGGTCCCTTTTTTGTCTCGTTTTCTGTTAATGTTCTCTATCTCTGTGTTTATTTCAGATCTTACTTCAATGATGATTGACAGACTATTCTAAAATATAATCTTTCTGCATACGTGATTCATACATTTAGAAATACTTCATAGTCAACTGATGTAACACATAGTAATGGTAACAATAGTAAGACCATACAAATCTGTGGATTGATCCATTGACCGAACATCATAAGCACAGTAGATTTGCATGTGAAAGAAAATTTTATCAAAAGGAAATAGTTGAACAAAAGTTTTCTTCTTTCTTTATTAACTGTATACAGTTATTGTACTAGACTTTAAGTGATACTGTCTGACTGTTCTCACCTAAGCTAGATAAACGAGGTTTAAACCTGCCGCCTATCGGGTATATATATATATAATATTTCAAACAGCTAAGATTTCTAGTGATCAAGTTATTTAAAAAAGAATGAATGATGAATCAAGCTACTAAACCTATTTGCAAAGTAACACCAATGCATGTCACATTTTAGTAGTTATGACTGAAATGTTAACATTTTCGGAAAAAACTGAGAATAAACCCTAAATCTAGGTGTCATGTCAGTTTAAACTCATCATCAGTGAAATGGTATCTGCAAGATTAATGTAAGTGTCATTTTAGATGAGATCTAAAACTTGTGTCAATGGCGTCCTGTTGATTGTGTTTAACTAAATAACATCAAACCTAGTGCATGTGCCACGATGCTGAATCACTTTGGTTAGAAGCCATATTTTAACCGCATCAATAAAATCAAACCACCATTCAGTAGTGGAAATGTGAAATTGATTAACACTAAATGAATTAAATGTTGAAGTTGGAATTTACCGACTTTAATCTGTGGAATATAATACATTTTTTGATAAATCTTCCGACTGAACTCTTGTATTGGTTCCCTAAACTCTTCTAATAACCCCAAGTTAAATATACACGACAACTTGAACACGGGAGAAAAGATGTGAAGTATGGAAAAGGACGCTTTACTCCATGGTTCGTTCTATGTACAGAAAATTTAGAGTATTCATAGTACTTCAGATGACCTTGGGCTTCTGGAAGGTTTTGGAACACTACTAAACATAGTAGTTGGATAAGTAATCATTCAATCAGAAATGTGACACATGACTCTTCACTTTTTAGATATTTCTGTTAAACTTCTATTCAACGATGATTAGATAAAAATGTATCCTAGAGTTTTCAGGGCCTTCCGGGGCATTTTTCAAGGAATATTCTGGATCTCATCGACATTTTTAGACAACATTACAGAATATCAAGTAAATTCTTGAGGTCGTTTTAACTACTGTTTAACTAACATTCCACACTATTTCTTAATTCACGTAGCTTCAATGATGAGACTATAATTTATGGACGACCTTTTAAGGAATCCTAAGTGACCTTGAAAAATAATACTCAACCAAGAAACAGTTAGTTTAAACTAAAAATATTATACAAAACCAAAGAAATAAAGTGGATATACTTCTTTTACATGGTTCAAAAACTTGCCAAGGTTAGAAAGAAGTTCAGAAGTTCTAAAATCGTAATGCATATAGTAGACGAACTCATCCATATAACTCCATAATGGTGGACCTCGACTACACAGCTTCAATATTGTTTGTGTGCACTCCTGTTGTGTTAGCTTGTCATTTTTATTACAGATATATCTCTACAAAACCTATACCACTGAACAACCGAAACTTCGGTAACATCTGCGAATGTTGCAGTCAATGTTACTGGTGTTCTTATTATACAGTTCGCAACAATTACCACAAATTGCTCAATCTGGATTGAGCGAAAAATGCCTACTCTAGCAAAATTCTTCCTCCAACATATATCACATCGAAACACAACATCATTACAGTAGTCTGCACAAGGTCCACAAGTCATATGATTATCACAATTAAAAAAATGAAGGAATTTCTTAGTAGTCTCATTTATTGTAGCCGCTCATTTATCACGTCTTCTTTAAAATCCTCTGTGAATCAATCGTTCGTAAGAATCAGGTACTGAAATTGGCGCCATGACCTTGAAATCCCTGAAACGCTTCTGATAAGCTCATTCATAAATTACAGTCTCCTCCAAAACGAATACTGAATGTTATGGTATATAAATTAAGATTAATACAAGCGAGTTAATAAATGACATACCGACAATATTGTAAATTAATAAATATATAATCCATTGATAAATCCAATTCTTCATATTATTAACATGGTTTAATCTAATGAAAATAGTTTCACAATTATTCATCCTTGACTACAGAATATAATGGTATAGTTTAAAAATCATACATTTGATCTATAGAATATTATAAATAAAATATGAATGGTTCTTAATTTTGTTTATATATTTATTGAATGAATGGTCGGTCATTCTACCAATAAATAAATTGATGTTCGTATATTGTAACCGAATTATTGTTATTATTAATGTAAAACATCTTCAGAGATTGTTAGATTTTATAGTTTATATCACAAATTGACCTCAGTTAATGTTATACTTGTGGACTGCTGATTAGACGGCAGCTTATTATCGACCGGACCAAAGACGCGTAAACACGTAAGAATGGCCTAGAGTTCTGATTGGCCCCGCTTCCCTGTCTAGCCCAGCCAGTTAAGTCCAGAACGCAAGTCTCAGCCTCTGAGATATGAATCGTTATATTTCAAGCATACTCTGTTTATATACCAATCAAGCAGACCACATCCCAACAGTTAAACAGCCAATGAACAGACAGTTTCCCTGTTCTAGTATGAGACATGTTAATAATGCGCACTAGAAATTTCATCAGGTTTCGAACCCAAAACCATCAAGTTTAGTGGCGAATGTCTAACCTGATATATTTCTAACCTCATAAAGATCTCTTATTCATTAGTGACTAATTTCAAGAGGCGATTTTCATAGTTCTAACGAGAAGCTGTGAACAGTTGATTTCAATCATGTTGAGTGTAAGACAGTTACTTACTGTTGGGGATGTTAGATCCCCAGAACTCACTTGGTGAATGCCTTAATTTTGTAATTTTATTCCGGAAATTTGAATTTCCTTGTTTTCGCTCTAGAAGCGCACTTTTCACCCACTTGGGAGAACCTTTAGCGCTATTGGTTCGTTATGTATTTTTAGTATGCTATTTTTGCTACGATTCCCAAGGACAGTTTTATGCTATATATATACATTTGATTTGTATGTTATCATTCACTCGCGCTTCTGGTTTACGGAATATACTTTTCCGTTCCAAGCTTGGATTTCTTCCTGTAGTTAGCGGGGCTGGGACGCATCAAATAGCTAGCTTATTGGTCTAAGGTCACAAGTCTTTGTTCCGTTCGCATACTAAGTGAACTCGTAATAGCTTCGAACCTAGCACTTACCAATGATACTGGAAGATCCTTCTTAATATCACGAGTTGATTAGAATAGCTTGATATGAACTAACCGAATATACTATAAATGAGTTTTCTGAAATTTTACAAACGTGCATCATGGATTCCACTGTTAGGCACTATCCATCTTTGCTCATAACTCTTACATTGTTTATAATTTCATTTTAAGCTGCCGATAAATTCCATCCATTCATTTGATTATCCAACTGCTTATTTCAAGTCCCTTGATGCTTTGCTACAACTTTAATAGGTGCTTTAACGATACAGAGGGCAAGATTTAGTTCAAATGATTAGGACTTCAATTGGTTTGACTCGTGAATGGTCTGACAATTATCTTAATCCTACAACCAATTATGTTTAAATATCTTACATAAATTATAAATCAGTCTACCATCTTATTACAGAAGACAGCTATCTTCACTGGTTAGTTGTCCTACATTCGATATCAGATCAATAAGGGCTTTTCGTCCATAATTCGGTTTTATTTTGAGTGCTTATCACTTAGGCATATTACTTAAATCCCGAACCTTCCTGTTCACATGTTAATTGTTATTTGTCACATTATATTTGTTCTTTAAAGTTATATTTGAATTGCAAACAACTTTGCTGTACTAGATCAAATAAAGCGTGTTTACAATAACTTTCGTACAAGTTCATTTTTATAAAAGTCTACAAAAGTTCGTTAGTAATTTTGTTGCTACAGGTTATAAGTAATTTATGAGAAACATACAATATTGAGTCATAATTAGCTAGTGGGAAAAGACAATGAACTTTACTAAATGTTTGGGAAATAACTTAATATTGTGAATTCTCTTCCATTTTTAGTACTACTTTGGCTTTCACTGTGTGGAATGCCTATACTTGTGTAAATGAAACATTGTGTCTCTATTGTTAGGTAATCAATTGTTGAGTTGGTTACTGCATGAGTGCGCGTATAATAAAAAATTCGGAGAATAACAATTACAGTATACGTGTATCACGTAATCTAGTAAGCAGTCGAATATTATGGTATTTTATTGTGTTTGCGTCGAGGGAAAAATCAGTTTTCATTACGTAAACTACAATCAAAACATAAATGAAATAGAACCAATTCATGTTTTTTATAATCAAACTGTTCTTGTCGTTCTTCTTCTTTACAAAAACTTTTACTATAAAACAAATAATCAATTTTAATTCATCTAACAATTATACCGTTTGAAAATCTACACTTTTTTCAATGTGTTCAATATATGCTAACTATTCATTAGTTTGTGGTGGTCGGTAATCAATATAATGTTTAAAATTCGTATACTGTTCGTCCTGATAAACGTTATTAGATAACGTTCCTGACGATGTATTAATCAGAAGGCGAATACGAAGTGTTGATTACGTTTATTATTGCATCACACATAGATAATCAAAATCACAAGTACGCTAAACAAGCATGAAAGAGTAGTGCGAAAAGCAAACGTGCGAGTGAACAGGATTAAAATGTACATATATACACATAGGGTAATGAGTGAATCATCGAATCAATTAAGCGACTAACAGTAAGGCTAGCAGAATGAATATATATAAAGGTACAATGATATAAGATAACTTGTTATTGTACGAATAACTCTATCCGTGTTAAATAAGTTAACAAAAAACGGTTTTATCAAATTAAATGTGAGCTGCTATAAACTATTTGGATGAAACTATAATATATGGACGAACTTTGAGCGACAATAAAGTAACCATGAAAACATCCACTTACTAACTAGGGCAAAATGATGACTATAAAGCAATGTAAGGAATTAGAATTATGATTTACATTTGATGGTTAGGGTTAGGAACTAGATTTAGGGATTTCATCATGAACTGACATTACCTAAAATGCTAAGATGCTATTAAGTCTTATCTTACACCTGATTGATTTGTCCATAAATATATAGTCTCGCTGCTGATTGTTTAAATATATATACATTATAAATTATTAAAATAAACCGTATTATTATAATAAATATACTCCATGTTATGAGTTTATGTCCGGCCTTTTATCACGTGATTTATCCACTAATCAAAATACGACTTATAAAATGTTAGCACTGTGCCAAACCAATGACGTTCGACCGGTATGAGCAGTCTAGCGTCCTTATTGGTCCTATGTCCTCCTAGCCCGTCCACTTGAGTCCAGAATACCAATACCAGCTTCCAATATGCGAATCGAACCATTTATTTAAGACATACCGGGTTTATAGACCAATCAGACAGACCGCAACGCACCATAAAATAGGAAATAACATTTGTACACAATAAAGCCAAAAAGTGACTGTGAACGTGGGAGGTAGTAGTCTATAAACTGAACATAGCTTAAGAACAGTTAATCGTACAATAATAAATTATAGGTCAAAATAAAGCTTATAATAAGAGGAATATAAATATACATATTCTAATGATTGGATAGTTATACCATAAGAATGTATATATAATATTAGTCAATTAATATGTCTCAGAAGTTACTCATGATTTAATCTTCGCTCGGATATAACACTCCGTATAATGAAAAATAATAAACCAATTAATAAATTAAAAAGAAGAATATATTTGTAAAATCTCAGCGAATGAATTTTAAGTAAATCCAACGTTTCGCCTGGCAATCTGGTCCAAGCTTTTTCAAGGAAAATATAATCAAACAACAAAATTATCGAATATCAATAGGTACATGGTTCTTCGGTTTATTGTATACTGAATAAATCATCCAATCAACGTTAACAATGTTCAATATTTAGTTGAATGAAATTTCTCCTCACATCACTTGCGTATAAACACATTCTGTTATCTTAACACGTTTTGGTTCCATAACACATACCTTGTCCTTATGTGTACAAAAACAATTCGTCATAACATTGAATTTACCTTGTAATCCTTAAGTCATTCTATGGCCTAGGATAACACGACAATTTCATATTCTTTCTCTCCCCTTGATTATTTTCAAATAAACTTTTATTTAATATCAGATGGGTTTTTGTGGAGATTGTAGTAATTTCAATGGTTAAGATCATGAGTCAGTTGAAGCTAGACCACCATGGAAAACCTGGAAGCACTGGACGGCCGTTTCGTCCTATTGTGGGACTCCTCAGCAGTGCGCATCCACGACCTCGCCCCCTGTGAGATTATTTGTTTGACCTTTATTATTTTTCATATAAACATGTCTCTTACACATTAATACAAATACCTATTTATAAAAATCCTTCACGTTGATTGGATGATTTATTCAGTATACAGTAAACCGACGAACCATGTACCTATTTATATTTGGTAATTTTGTTGTTTGATTATATTTTCCTTGAAAAAGTTTGGACCAGATTGCCAGACGAAACGTTGGATTTACTTAAAATTCATTCGCTGAGATTTTACAAATATATTCTTCTTCTTTTTAATGTCTCAAATTAACTCGGCGCCCAAATATTGTGAAACAATTCGTTCAAATTTAGACGAAAGTTCTTATCAATTAATAAATTATTTTCACTAGGCCATTGGCAATAAGATTTTTCAGTTTTTGATCTATATATTTTTAGTTGCCATTGGTTGATATTGATTTTTTATATAACAATTATAAATTATACGAATGTTTGTCAAGATTACAACGAATAGTTTGACAGAAATTGGGCGCCGAGTATAGAGTCATTATATGTGGAAATTATATTTAAAATAATCTCAGCGATTAAAATTTAAATAATTCCAACATTTCGTCCAGCTAACTTGTCACTAGCCCTAAAATACATGATTGTTTAGAATCTGCTTGATTTCTTCCGATGTTTCACTACGGTATGGAATGACCACGGTGTACTTCCAAACTTTTCGTATACATTCTGGACGATTATAAATATTAGAATCAATTAATTTGTCATAATG